CGAGAGACTCGGAAGAGATGTTGAGTCCGGTGGGCAGATCAAGGCGTTCGCAGCAAGAAAGGGGCATGAACTCCGTCCTGCTGTGCCCAGTGGAACAGGCAAGAACCAGTGACTGCTCCAGCCTCCAAAAGCACTTCATCGGAGCGATACTCTGACACCTACCGATGTTTAGCGGTGGGCTGAGGGAACACTGTCCCGCTCTTCACAAGGAGACAAGTGACCCTGACCTTCTGGGAACCACGTACACAACACACACAAGCCCAGTTTACACCAGTGCGGAAAGCATAGAGAGGAGAGACGCTTGTGTTCAAGCGGAGGATGCTTTCTGATTTACACAGCCCACACCGGTACGATCCATCTCTGGCCCCCCGCGCCCTCCTGCCTCACCAACCTGTTCTGTTGGAGGTAACCGACTCCGCCTGCGACACGAGGCGTTGGGGCAGCGGAGCCTCGAGGCCCGGGATGAGACTCTCAACAGCTACGTCAGGTTTTCCTTTCCAAACGTGCAAAACAGCAGAGCAGAGAAGAAGCCAGAGGTTAGTTTGCGAGACACAGCACAAGGAGGAACGAGGGCGGCAGTTGTCTGAATCCTTTAGTGACCCCTTCAGCAAGAGCCTGAAGTGAGACCAATGTTAATTTAATCCCAAGGGTTTGTTGGGTTTGAGTTTCTCCGGTGCTTTTAAAATGGATTTATTTTAATTTGTGCTAGCCCAATTTGAAATATCCCGAGGGTGGAATTGGAGGTTAATAGCGCCTGCCCTGCAGCTATGCAGAAGGCCTGGGGCTGGGCAAATAACTACAAGGTTTTGCAAGATTCTTCTCCAGCAAAAGGAAAACCCTGACCTTTACGGAGCCCCCTTGCACTAAAGTCACAGATCACTAAAGTACCTACTGTGGAGCCTGTATCTTATTCCCAGTTAAGCGTGTACAAAGCCAAGGAGTTGGATCTTTTTTTTGAAGTCAAAGAACCAGGAGGCACTCAAATGCTCGGATCATTGGTCTGGTTGGTCAGCCTAGGAAAGGTTAATGAATATTTTTGTTTGCATAGCAGTGTGTGTCTCGGATTTGCAGGATCATTATCTAAGAGGATTCAGACAACTGCCAGAAATTGCAAAAGTGAGAAAAAGAGAGAAAGTCTTGCTCTCGAGGCGACTCATTTCCTACCTTTCTACTCAAAGCTACAAGGTCACAGCCAGCTAAGCCCGGGGACCCTGGCTGGGACCCAAAACCACCAAAGCAGCTGATTGCAACTAACGGCAGCCTGCAGTTATTAGTTTTTAGTACATTTGGGAAGTACACCAAAATACGATTCTGCAATGCTCCAAAATCCTTATCCTGCCTGAAGCCTGGGCTCCTGGCAGCCTGGCCCGTGTATTCTCAGCATACACCCCAGGCCAAAGGCGATGCTGTCCCCATCCCGCTGAGGGTCGATGGAGGGACAGACAGGCGCAGTGCCTGGCCATGGTTACACACAAAGTCTAGCAGAACTGGAAGGATTTTTTGCATCTTCTCCTTCAGTCCCAATTAACTTTCTTCTACCAAGACCAGAAGAACGCCCAAGGCACAACCATGCCATGTTCTTGTCCCAAACAAGCAAGCCTAGATTCTCAATGCAAATACCAAACTGTTCAGATGTTAAACTCATGGGGAAAAGGCAGATCTGTCTCAGCATAATCCATAACTTCCTATCCCATTGTTTTTCATCAACACTAGCGGCTGTTTTGAGAGCCCAGTGGGGGTAAACACGCAGAGTTATCATGCGGGACAAGACATGCCATGGGAGACAGAGGGGAGGAGGTGCCCTGGGTTTATTTTTTACCATTCACAGCATCTGGCGTGCTACCGAAGGGGTCAGCGAGAGGCAGGATATCAGGGAGCAGAAGCGCAGTCTCAGGAGATTTGAGTCCCTCAATCAGTTTTTCTGGGTTAAGCGGGAAAAGGAGGAAGGCAGGCAACAGAGAAAAAAGCAGAAAAAAAATACAAGAAAAGACAGCATTAATCAGGTGCTCCATTCAGTGGCTCATAGTCAGTGTGCCAGCCTCAGAAGAACATCTGCACAATTCTGTGTGCAAATGAAACTATCACTTAGAGATATCAGAGGGCAGCTATTCAGCAGCTGCCCATGGTCACCCAAGATCCCTGAGGACACCCTCTCCCTAAGGAGCCACTCCAAACCAGCATGCAGTTCTGTCACTCCTACCCAAAGCACAAAAGTTTAACATGATCCATTGAAAATCAAATTAAAACAAAAAAAAAAAAAGAAAAAAAAAAAAGACCTGCAATTTTTCCCCTCTCACCTTCCTATGCTGGTGAGGTCTTTGTTAGTCTTTGCATAACAAGAAGAAATAGAGGAGATGATCAGAAGCCCAAGATGCCAGAGCTAGGTATACAGTGCCTATTAATTTGCTCACGAATAGCATACTTCTAGCCCTTAAGAGCTTAAGCAAAACCAGAAAATATTGAGAAACTAGCATCAGCCATCAGAACTTGCCCTTGGGTTAAGCAGCTGCCTAGTTACCCGTTAATTATTTCAAATATCAGGTTTCCAATCAGACACGTCGTTCTCAGCGGTACAACTCCTGGGGTTCCCATTATCCTTCGTACAAAGACATGCAGATAGCCCGGGCAAAAAGTTCATTGCCGTTATTAATCTGGTGGAGGAGTGATTTTGCAATCATACTAACCAGGTTTTCAATAATGAGCTTAATTATTTCGTTTTCACGAGGGTTTCTTCACAGAACAAGAAGATAAAGCACATTTTCAGGATTTGCTAGAAGTCACCACCTTCAGTTGAACAGCACGGATAAAGTTTGCTCCACACGGACAAATCCGGCCGTTCCAGCTCGCTGAACAACTGCATTTATCATCTAACATCAGCATGAGCCGTGGCCCCGCCACAGAATTTGTACATCTGTATTTTATGTTTTGAGTTCAAAGGCTGGCGTTATTATTTATTATCCAAAGAAAACGTGCTCACAACAGCACAGGCTCTGGAATACTGCTGTATGAGAGACTCACCACAGTCTGAAAAAGCCAAAGAAAAGCTTAAGTTGCACCGCTACATCTACGGTAACACTCTCAATCTTTTTTATTGCCCTGTGTAAATAATGAAATAGCCTAGAGGCTTTGGAACTACTTATTCAAAGCAGGACAAATTCTGCTCCCCATGAAAAACTTCACAAGCCAACACAGCAAAGCAGCCAGGAGGGGAAGGAAACCTAAGAAGCGACCCACGAGGCAGCTGTTACACCACTAAAGGCCTGAGGGCGGTCAGCTGAGAGGAAAAACCCAAACCAGCAGCCCTGAATGTACTGGAGTACAGCGGGTGTGTACGGACCGGCCCCCAGCCAAGGGCAAACCCATCCCGCCACATCAGACATTCAAGCCCAAGAACACTACCTGCCTTTGTGGTGGCAAAGAAACCCAGCTCTTCAGCCGCTGCTTCACCACAGCTCCACGGACCAGCGCGGCGACTCGAGGAGGGCGTCTCCTGCACACCCGACCTGTGCACCAACACGAGGCAGCTACAGCTGAACGAGATGCAGACCGAGAAAGAACGAGCAGGCTCTCTCACGATGCTGAACTGCATTTTGGGTCCTGCTACCCAGGGAATTCTCTAGCAGGAGTTTAATTTCCAAGAGAAACATTGCTTCAACTGCAAATGAAGTCATGGCTGAGATGGTGAGCAGCCAGCAACACCGAGCGATGTGAAATCCAGCAGTGCAAGAAGAGGAAGAACTGGGATAACTAGTCTTGTTTTCGTTATCTGTACAAACACAACCATTCGAGTCACGCGTGTATGAAGTGATCACCAATTGGGGACCAGACTCCACCAACAGAGCAAAAGGCACACAGCATGGATCTGCCGTTTGCAGAAAGAGATGAAGGCTAGACCCTTGTGTACGGACTTCTCTGGAACACGCTCTTCTCCCATCTGTCACCCTCTCAGCAAAGATCTACTGGAGACAACCAAGAGAGACGTTTTGCTACTAGAGGACCAGCCTCTTGTGACTCTCTGGGCGTGTGGGCACACAATCCCAAGCTGCACTTTAGAGGTGGTCATGATGGCAAAGAGGCTGAGTTACACAGCAAACAGCAACGTAACAAGAAATAAACAGATGAAAACCTCTGTGCGGCAGTTTCAGGGCCCATTGCAACTAATTTTGCACATGCATAGAGCTCAAGACTGGAGCATGACAGGACAAAACACACCCTGCATCTCACCACGCAGATAAATTCAGGATTTTCAAGTGTCAGAAATCCTTCTGCATCAAATCCAAAAGACGTCTGCAGGTTATTCATACGGAGACATGAGCAAGCCCAAGGATAAACCAGGTTAAGACAACCCAATACAAAGATATTTTATACCATACAGCTCCTGAAGGGCTTCTCTCAAACTCCAGCTGGAGCACCATGTGCTTTCATCGATGACTGTGCTCCCACCTGGGGCTGCCTCTTGGAGGCACCCTCCTCCCCAGACAGCCCACTGGAAATCCTCCAGGGCTCTCCGCGTCCCAGGGACAGCGAGCGCGGTTCAGACCTTTGGCGTTTCGTTTTCTGCTGGGGTTCCTACTCCGCCCATGTTCAGTCCTGACCGGATGGCAAGAATTTGCTACAGCTTTGCATCAGGCAGTGAGGATGCTGGCTGAGTAAGCAAGAGTCATGAGCAAGTCTTGAGAAGGAGCCTAAGCTCAAAAGCGTGTGCAGGGGACTGAAAAGCACCCTGTCGACCCTTCCCAGAGCTAAAGCCCAGCCACATACTGCAGCCTTCAGACAAATGTTTCACTTTCTTCCCAAGTTCCCAGCTCCTCACAGTAAGAAATCACAGATTGTTTCCTCTCCTAGTCAGAGTAAGCAAAACACGATGCAGAGAAAGCAAAGCAAGAGCCTCCAGCTCTCAGAAGCATCCCCAACGGCAGATGTTGGTAGCTTCAGAGACTGGGAAACCAAATCACTTCCTCCGGGAATGAAAGCAAGAGCCTTTCCTCCGATCTGCATCAACACAAGAAGGAAGTAACACCCCTCAGCATCAGCAGAATTAACAGAGTTACATCGTGGGAGAAGAACACAAGATCAAACCCCACGTGTGGGTTGAGGAGCACAGCTTTGGACAATACAGTGAGAAAAATCTGACCTTTTTCTTTTGGTCTTTGACCTTCTTTTCCAACCCATGCACCAATCTGATTTTTGAGATTTACAATTAGTCAATTTGCACAGACTTTGCATCTGCAACACCACCACTGCCAAGGACTGTGAGTTGGCATGCTGCAATTCAACTTGGCGATATACCCGGTAAGTATATGCAGAAAGCATTTTAAGAAGGACCAGAGTTATGAACAAAAATATAAATCACAAGATGGGAGAGGGCAAAGGGGTTTTTAATTAGAGCAGGCTATTAGAAAGAATAAAGGTTCCTGAGAAACTTGCAAGTTAAAAAGGGAACGGAGGGCAAAAAATCTGCCACGGGTTGGTAACACACTGAACAATCAAGATGCAACATCTCAAAGCCAAAGAAGTCCACCAGCCAGGCACCGCACACAGCAAGGACGTTACTCACTCGTGTACCGCGGAGGAATAGCAAAAAGAAAGAGAATTCAACAGAGCACACAGCAGAGTTCTTTTCTTCGGATGTCAACTGAGAAAGAAAGACAAGGGTGTAAAAATCCGGCCGAGTCAACTGCGCTGCGAGTGGGAGGGTGAATTCCAGATTAGTCACCCAGGAGGATTTCTGCCTACCGATTAATCAAGTATGAAAGGCTAAAGGAAGCCCCGCACATTATTCGCCAACAGAGGACTTTCACTAATCAAGGGAAGGCACTGGACTTTCATCTTCCTAGCAGAGTTTCTGTCCAATGGAATTGTTTCTTATACAGCACAAACAGAAGAAAAAATATTATAGCAATCGGTGTGCTTTAAATCCACACGCACGCGACCTTGTAACCACCACCCAGAATAGCAGGAAAACATTCAGCAGTGGCTCCTTAAGAGATCAATATCAAACAACCGTAGCTTAATTTTCAAGATCTCAAATATTCGTCCAATAACATCCCTTTGGATCAACTCAAAGAAACACCAGATACTCTTTACCCTCATTCAGTTGGGATTCCCGTGGTCCACTGGCTTGGCTGCTCCCAGTCACCAGAACACCGTGTGTTCTCTCGGTTGGTAACACAGCAACTATTTCATCACGGTGCTAGAGGAGCGGTTCCCTTTCTGCATTTTCCCAAGTCAGGATGTAAACTCAAGCCATCAGTACACACCCACGGGTCTGTGCATGTCTGCAATCACCTTTTCCCAACGTATCATCTTGGTACAAATATAAGTTCTAACTAGAAATACAGTTTTTATTTTACAGTTGTTACAAACACCCAGACAGAAGTGGGCATACAGGTATTTTCTTAAAATTTATGGGCCTGGGGTAGAGAGAGTTATGCTGATGAAAAAGATTTCATCAGGTATTTTGTGCCAAAAAATAAAAGAGCCCTCCTACATCAGCGATAGCGGCCGTGTCAAAGCAGCCGAACCCGTGTGTCTCAACAAGGATGTCAATGGCTTGAGCTCAATCACCAGCTTCAGAGATCTGATCTCAACACTTCCCAATCCTTTCCCATTTCCCGTTCTTCAAACGTTGCGACAGCCTGACACTCGCCTCCAGCTCCCAACGCTGCTCTAGCACACTGCAGGGAAAGCTCAGAAACCCGGCTCCTGGAGCCACATCACAACACAATGAGAAAAATCCAGTTTTGCTTAAAACTCCTGGTTTTGAAGGCAAGGATGTTTAAATGTCAGGGCCACGCGTTTCCGAGAGCTGGCTCTAGAAACAGGCCAAGGGTGTGGATGCATTCTGAAATCACAGCGCGGGATATCTGCTGCCTCTGCCCTGATCCGCATCCTCTCGGGCTAACAGGAAAACACACACGTCTGAGTATCTGAAGGAAATAAGGCAAAAACTCATCCTTAAAGTGCAATTTAAAAGCTTTGGAGAATTCCAACATGACAATGACTCTTTAGTAAGCAACACCGTTTGCCTTTTCATCAAAAATGAGAATCCAGCATGCCCGGCTGGCACAGGCGTGCTTTCTTGGCCCGTTTCCTCCCCCAGCTACGTCTGCACGTTTACTTAGCTGTGCTGGACGTGGAATTTCTCTTATTTCACGTTCTGTTATGAGCAAGACAATGGTGCAGAGGCCGCTTGGTGTTGCTGCTCGTCAAACAAATAACTAACGACACTAAAGACTCGTTTGTCTCTCAGCTGCAGCCAAGACGCTGAATTACTGCAGGGAGTAAATGCTGGTGTAAACTTGTAAAGAATGAGCCGTTCTCTTTTGAAGAGGAATAAAAAAAAAAAAGATGGACTCACTGTGCAAAGACAGTACTGTACTGGGCAGGGATGCAGAGAGGCCCCCAGTACCACGGCACAGGGACACAGCCTGCACACGCACTGGTGCGGTGTGACCTGCGGCACGGGGGGGATTTGTCCTCCGTGCAGTGAGAGGAAGGAGCAGAGCTGCTCCTTCTCAGCTCCCGCACCTCAGTGCTGCTGCTCAGCGACTTCTCCTCGCTTGCTCCGCTGCCAAGGACCCACACCCACCAGCTCTTCTCTCTCCTCTTCCGCAGAGAGCAGAGAATACACCAGGACTGCCGACAGCACAGGGCACCCGGGAGAAGAACGTTCATCTGGAGCCAGAGCAAGGAGACCCTGCTCCCACCCCAAACTGGAAGAAAACATTTTTGGCAGAGGGCATTTCACTGGGTCCACTCATCACTTACTGAGAAATCTGTTTACCTGAGCACGTTTCTAGAGTCAAGGGGATACATCGAAAACCTTTCCTGACACCAAGATGACTCTTTCTGAGTGAAGAGTGTAACTACATCAGGACAGGACTGAAGGATTTCAGTTTCAGCAGTTAACAAGGGACAGGGGCTCCAGCAGAAGTATTCATATGCTCTGGGTCAAACCTCTCATTAAATACTTCCGCAAAGCAGGTTTTCAGAATCTAGTCCAAACTCCATTCATGCCAACAGAAATGAAGTCAAAAGAAAGAAACCCCACAGCAGGTAACGGGTGTAAAAACCCTGGACTTGGGACTGTTCATGGGGTGAAGCATCAACGACAAAGGAAGAGAGCTGACTTGAAGCTTCGTAACTCAGTTTAATTTCAGGTCTTCAGAATGCTCTGTGCAAAATTTAGCCTCCAATGCCCCTAAATTCATATTCATAGACATGAAGCAGCCACACGGAGCAGAAAAATTACCCTTCCGCTCAAACACTCCGTTGTGATTGACCAGCATTGAAGCCTGCAACAAGCTTATTAAGAAGAACTTGGCTCACTTTCCTACACATGCACAAGGAAAAAAAATGTTTTCAGCATGAATATTTAATTCACCCTTCTTTGAACAGATGTTTTGCCATATTTTTACATCCCTCTTGCCAGCTCCTCTTGCCGGTTACAATTCTATTAAGCATTGCAGCCATTACACATCAGAGAAGGAGGAATATACTGAAAACTACTCTATTTCCACTTGATTATTGTCCAGAGCTGATATTTCTGCCTTCTCCAGGGTGCAACATTACCTCTTCTCTAGAAGCACTTCCAGAGCAGCTCGTTACACACAACAAACGGTAACCAGCCTCCTGTAAGCTACCACGCATCTCCAGCGCCATGATCCACGCCAGGCTGTAGAACCTGCTGCTGGCCAAGGTTTGTCTTTCTGTAGACATTTAACTGACTACAACAGAGTGTGATCTCGCCAAACCCACAAGCAGCCCTACTTAAAGCCACATCTGTTGCTTGTAGCTCCACGACAGCGTTCTCCTCCATTTGAACGTATTTAGGCTGTCCGGGGATGCACACAATACTATTTGTCATGGGTTAAGCATCATTCACTTGCTTCTCGAGAATCTGCGATAGGTTCATCTGTCCTGAGCATGCAGAGGAAAGGTGGGAGAGCCCAAGGAGGGCTCTGGCCAACATTCAAGTGATGCCACCTGTACCCTCAGGTGCCAAACGGAGTAAGTTTGTGGCTTAAGTAAAAAAAAATTTAAAAATTCATCTGAGCTCTGAGCCAGACCCTCAGCTATCACAGATTTAGAGAGCAGAGAGCCGACAAAACCGGCTCTGTGTGACAAACAGGGAAAACACCAAAGGAAAGCCTCGAGTATGGCTGTGCTGAAAGCCTTCCTGAACAACACCGCTCTTGTCACCAAGGGCTAAGGACTGACGCTTTTCCTTCCAAAAAGGCTGTGCATGCTCCCAGCCTATAAAAAGACAGATGTAAAATGTTTTCCGAGCAATGGGATTCACTAGCAAAGTTTTATCAGAAATAAAAACATTCCAAACAGAATGCAAATATTTAGCGAGAAATTTAGTTGCTTCTGCCCAAAGCTAAGGCAGCTTGTAGACGTGCAACTGGAGATGCTGATGTCCTGAGAGCCCGAAGTCAATCCCATGGGGTACACCCGAAAGAACGCCTTTCACACCAAGTCAGCACATCCCTTGCATCCCAGCCCTCTCTGCTCCGGGGATGTCTCCACACAGGTAATGCAGACACGGAACAAAGATGGCTCTGTTCTGAAAACCTGAGACCAAATCCAGGATTTTTATCTTCTCTGTGGAATTTACCAGCACAGACAACCCCTCTCGGTCTTCCAAGCTAAGGATAACTCCGTAGCCCTGGTCCTTGAAAGCATTCATGAGCTCCTGGCCTCAAATTTTACATTAGAAAATATATATATAAACTAGAGATGCCTTTGCAGGAACCTGCAGGAGACCAAGGCAGCCAGATCTCCTGCACGCCCTTGCCCCCCAGCTTCGCCACCATGAAGGAGATCCACTGAACTCACCAGGAGCAGACACACGCAGGCAGAGAGATTAGCGAAAGAAGGTTTAGCACCTGCCTGCAGAGATATGCCACCGTCAGGGACAGATTTGTGGGACAAGTGACCCGGCACCACGAAAACTGCAGACAGCTGTTGTCCTGATTATTTGCACCCAGGGTTGCAGGGAATTTCTCCGTGGTGGTTTCTGTACTATGAGGAATTTCAGAGCTCCTGCAGCTCAGGCTGTGGCTGCTGCTTCGTGTGGTCTGGCTATACCAAAATGCAACAGGCGGTAAGGAAAACTACCGTCTCGGTGTGCACTGCGTGTGTTGAGCACGCTGGCAGAGAATGAGATGGCAGTCTGGGCTGACAGGCTTCAAGTCAGGAAAACCAATGTTTGCGACAGCATTCATGGAGGGTGGGGAAGAAAAACGTGCCGTCATCTGCCTTCTGTAGGTTCTTTCCAAATTATCGCTGGGCAAGTCAGCTCCCAGCCAGCGCTCACACTGGGCAGAGGGCCTCTAAGTTCTGCTTCTTTTCTTGAACTGCAGCATTTACGAGTAAAATCCCTTTTGAACCAAAACACATTGCTCATGCTCTTTGAGCATCAACCAGAAGGAAGCAAGTTCTGCACAGGTAGGGGGGAAAAAAAAAAAAAAGCTTTTTTTCCTGAATTGCTTAGCTTTCCATGGAGAGATGCCATCTGCACAAGCAAATCGTTTTGAAGCTTGGGTCCTCTACTGCCACAGCACCAGTGATCCACAGCGTGAGCTGAGGACAAGGTGAGAGCTGTAACAAGCTCTCATCCTCTGGGGCTCGGTGACCAGAAGGGACCTGTCACACACATCCACCAGAGGGCTTAGAGAAACTCCAAGATCAAACCATTCCCATATTCCAAATCCCACTGCTTTGCAGATGAGCTCCTAAGCACTTACATAATCTTGTGCTAAAAAGTGTTGGCTGCTGCCGTCAGAAATGTGCACGCAGAAAAGACTTTTAAGTAATGCTGCAAAGGAGATGGAAATTGCTACCAACTGCACTAGAAAATTTTGCCAAATCAGAAAAGGTTACACGTTAACTCGTGTTTCACATGAAGCACACATTTGCAACAGACCTTGGAAGCCAAAGAGCTGACTTTCAGAGGAAAGATTAACAATAATAAAAACTAGTTTCCAAGCTGGAGGCCAACTTCAAAATGGCTTTGGGCACAACAGGTAATTACCCCGTGATTATTTTTGGCTTTGAATACTGAACCAGTGTTGTGGTCTCCCAAGGGTCTGCCGTAAAAACCGAGAGCTCTTGTGCCCAGCACCACTCCCGCAACCAGAGAGATATTCAACAGCAGAAAGCGCGTCAGCGCCCAGCACCATTGACTAAGGCCCAGGATTTCAGGTGAGTCTAGAAATAGAGCTGGAAGATTAAGGGTACAAAACAAACAACAAATCACCCCCCCTCCATAAACTCAGTTGCAGTTACCTGGCGTGTCGGACAACGGGAGAGGAATGAACGGATCAGGCACAGTCAGAAGAGGAGGGCTAGTGTCCAAACTCAGAATATCTTTCGTTTTTTCAGCTGGTAACCGGGAAGAGAAAAGGCAGAGTGAAACAGAGAAGAGAGAAAAGCAGAAAGCATGGAGCAAAATCTCAGCACAGGCACAGCTCAATATTACCGAGTCCAAGCTACAGCCCGACAAGAACAACACACACACGCACGCTCAGATCAAGTTTATGTTGCTAGTGAAAAGAAAAAAAAAAGCAAACCCCACACAACTATTACCAAGTAGCTCTCCAACACAGTTTAACCCACAGATCTCAAAACATTCCTTGAAAGGGAAGTACTATCATCTCTCTTTGCAGCGGCACAAAAGGTGAAATGCCTTAAAGGCCACATGGCAGGCCAGCCCCACGTTGGGCCTCTTTGTCTGAAATGAAAGATGCAGCATCTTGCATCAGCCAGGCTTAGACAGCCTCGGATCTACGAGGAACGAAAAAGAAAAGGGCTAGAGTGCGCAGCTCAGTGCCAGCACCCAGAAAACCTCCAAGACACCTTCCTGTGCCAAACCAGAGGACAGGAGAGCCAAGGGGCACATTTTAAAGACAACTACTAAAAGAACTGAACATGCTACACTGTCCAGAAAGCCCAGAACACGCAGGTGCTTCTCAGGCTTTGCAGAAGGTACACGACACTGAATCTGGAGCTGCTGCTACTCAACGTCACTCCCCAAAGGCTGACGGAACATTACAAACTGTTCCCAGGGCCCTGAAGAGCTGGACAAACTCAGAAAGCAACCCCCTCCAGCACTGCTGCATCACGGACTTCAACTCCTTAACTCTCCAGTGAGAGCCAACAATACCAAGCTCAGTTATAAGCTCCCCTAAATCTCTTTTTATAAATAGAAATAAGCGTAAATGGATTTGTCACTTCTTGCCCCACAAAGGATTCTTCAATCTCTTCCCAGGACTCCTGTCACCAAGGGTTGTGCTTCAGCGAGGAAGCGTCACACGGGTGCGTTTGTCACCGGTGACAAAGGGCTGCGTAAGACCAGGGAGAGGATTATTGCATTTCAGGCTCCTGGAAGCAGTTCTCCAATAATGTCCTCGGCAGGTCTTTGCTGCATTCTGTGAGAACGGATGCTGAAGGACTAGAAACAAGCAGAAGCACTCACTGAGGCTTTTCTGGTGTAGAAGGGGCTACTCATGGCAAAATGCCGGTACCCAAGTACTGAAGCAGACACCAGACAAGGTCACACGCGCAGAGGCCTCTGCAAAAAAGCTCCTTACACCACCCAAGGACTCCTGCCCTCTGGACCCAGAGAGCACAGCCAGTGCAAAACTTCCTGCCTTCACCATTTAACACGTCAGTTTTGAGACCAACCGCGCTCTCCTCTGAGGATTTCCCCTGCTCTCTTGGTCACTGCAGCAGAAACATTCTGCTCCTCTCCCCCTTCATACAGCCCAGATGCAGGCCAGGAACACCCTTCGGCATGAACTCCCTTACCGCACGCGACGTATTTCACTTCTAATGATGAGCTGCATGGAACTGAATGCTTTAAAAAGCCTTCTTGTGAAGTTAAGGGGCTCACTTGGTTTCTTCCCTCCCCAAAAGCCTCACCTCTGCCTGCAGACAGCATCTCCCGTCTCTGCTACCCAACTGTGACACGTCCTTGTGCCGTTCCTACCCTCCCTTCTTTCCTGAAGGGCCAACCCTACCCCACAGCTCTCAGTGCCAAGGCCCAGCTCCATGCCCATCAGTTTTACCTTCCTTCTAAAGAGGCTATGATAAAGAGTTGCCATTTTTCTGCAGTGCTCTCCAGGGCACTGCCCTGTGGGATGGATTCACAAACTCACCTGACCCAGCAGTGAAGGAGGAGCCACCAAACGCATCTGCCTGGGCTGCGGATGAAGCAGATTGGAAACCTGGAATCAAGTTCTCTGTGGAACTGCCCATCTTTTCCGGAGCTTTCCCTGAAATGCCAGACACAGATTTAGGGGGAAAACTTCCATTCCGAAGGTCGCTTACTTACTTAGATTCTTAGGACACTTATTTCAAATATGTGACTTAAGCCCCTTCCTGCAAATCGTAACTTGCAGATGAAGCAGAGTTTAAACTGCAGCTTCTACAACCAGTTGATCACAGCCACTCTAAAATCAGTTTGTACCTCTCCCTTCAAGGATCATGCTCATTTAATTGCAACCACTCAGCAAAGAGGACAGGGAGTGAGAAGGAAAATTGGAAGGATTTAGCTCTTAGAGGCACAGAGAACCACGCTAACATGGGAGCGCCCCAGCAGCATCTGACCAAAAGCACCACCACTCCATGCCACCTTGTGTTTTGAGAGCAGGCTGGTATTAAACCACCTCCATCAACCTACCGTCACCCAGCCTTGCAAAGTCCTTGTTGAGCAGCTCCTCAGCTGTGAGCTTGGAGAAGTTATCATCATCAAACGGATTCCACGTGGAGACATCGGGCGGGTTGTAGACATTCTGCTGGGAGGTCCTTGGGGAACCCGAGGGTGTGGTGGACGCAGATCTGGAGGTGATCAACCCAACCAAACAACAGCCATTAATAACCCAGCTGAAACCCTCTGGCCAGCACTGAGCCAGTCCAAACAATCGCTTCCCTCTTAAAACACTCAGCACAAGTTTTGGTACGTGCATGCCCAGAAACCTGGGACCAGTTGGCCTGATCTGCTTGACCACCCTGGCATCAGAGATCGCAAGCATCCCATTTAAAACAACTTTCTGCAATGCTCACGTGGAGCCTTCCTGCCTGTAGACACGCCAGTAGTGACCTAGCAAGTGTTCCTGGGGAAATGCTGATGCTAAGCAGCACGCACGAAGCACGCACCAGGGCTACTGGTGTAACGGCTGAAATGACACTGGCTTTTGTAATCCAGAGGAAGGCCCTGTTTGCTTAGCTTTTGGGGAGCCCAGGAGCACTCAGGAGGAATTCTGGCCCTTGGGGAAGTTTTTTGGCAACTTTATGCCAAGCCCTAAACCGCGGTCTTGGGAAGGCAAAGACTCATTTAGACCTCAGAGTCTGCTGCCTACCTTAGTCTCCAAGCTTCGCCTAGCAAATCTCTGAAGAGCTTCATCTACCCCCTCCTACACCCTGTGACACCAAGCGAGCAGCCACCTACTTGGACTTGTTGAGACTGGCTTCAGCAGCCGCTGCCTGCAGGAGCTGGGTGGACTTGCTGGCCGGAACCCCAAAAACCGCACTGTGGGTCACGTCGCTCAGAATCCTCCTGTGTCCTGCACGCTGCGTCTTGGGGGAGGACGGAGGGGTGAGAGAGCCCAGCTTCTGCCCTTGCACTGCTGCGGGGGGCGTGGTTTGAGGTTTTTGCTGTTGCCTCATTTGTGCCTGCATGTAGGAAAGAAAGTAAACCGGTATGTCCTTGATCGTGAACAACAGCCACGATAACAAAACAGCTACATTCTGGAGGATCTGACCTTCAAGTCATGGATTGGGAATAGTCTGGAAGGGAAAAGCAAACAAAAAAGAATCAGGGTCATTTCCTGACCATTGGAGAATTACTACAATTGTAAAGCAGAGACTTTCTCCCCTTTCTACGGTGCACCTCTAGAGGCAAAGCATCTATTAGCACATTTCATTAAAGGCTAGCTGGTCTCAGAAATTTGCTTGTGGGTAAAGAGGCTGAGATCTGGGCAGAGGTAAAAAAAGAAATCAGATCTTAAGTGTGCAGGAGTCTTGTCATAGAGATGCAAGGAGCGGGGGCAAGGTGAAGAGCAGCGCTCCCTCCAGCAGATAACGTGTGATGGGTCAAATCCCTCAAGGAAGCACAGGTCTTCTGCAGAAACAAGTGGAAGAAGCTTTCTTGGCTTTCTCTTAAGCAAAAAAAGGACCACAGGAGCAACATTTGATATTAAAATCTGGAGAAGAAAAAGAGGTACATCTGGTTGAGGTGTGAGCCAAGACAGCCCAGCCACAAACCCTTTGTAAACTTCCAGGGGTTTCCTCAAACTGATCTTATTTTTCCATTACCTTAGTCTTGTGTTAAACTCACAAACCCATAAATACTTGAAATACTGTTTTGTAGTGATAAACAGCAGCATTGCTTCCAATTCTGTGCTTTTTTTCAAACTTGTCTGTCAGTGAGATATCCTGGTTGGATTTAAAGCAGGAAAACTAGAATGCAAAGAGAAGCAAGCTGTGCGTGCCACCTCTGCTGCCTGGGCACCAGCTCCCCGTTCCCTGCTCCGTACCATCCCGGGCCATCTGCAACCACGGCAGACAGATAAAAGACTTGGAAAGACCTAAGAGGGCAATGAGAAAAGACTTACACACCCAGAGCTACTACAGTGGGGCAAGGCAAACAAGCGGTTAGCTGTCTTGCTTTTCATCTGGCATTTTCAGGCAGAATAATTCACTGCGGCTGAGAAGCAAGCTGACCTGACTGCTTCTGATGCACCCACCTTCCATCTCGCTATATAGGTAACTGCAGAACAGTACAGTTGGTGCTGAGAACTAAAAGGGCAGTGCCGAAATCTCCACAGAAATGAATGCAGAGATGATTAAACTGAAGTTTCACAACGTGAAAAGGTTTTGATGGGTCCTGGCTTGGTATCTTCTGCTCAGAGACTCTGCTCTGCAGAGACCATGGCTCACTATCATTTTTTTAAATGAGCCAACCACTGCTTTTCCCTTCCTGACTGCTGCAGGGGTGGAAAAGTGTCCAGATGCGTCCATTCTGATCAGCCTTCTCAGGGGATAAGGCTAATTTTCAATCCAGCTGATTTAATACAATTAAGACTGGTTTTGTGCTAGTGAATCACAGGCAAGCTCTTTGGAGATGCACTTCAACACTACATTTCTGGCATTTCTCCTCTACAAGGAACAGGGTAATAACAGACCTCATCCAAAACCTGTCTGCATGTACTGAAAATCTCCCACCTATTCCAGTAAACTGGCTTGCCCCAGGTCATTCAGCAAAACAATAACAAGACCAGGAACATGCCAGCTCCGAGCTTGTCACCGACCCTAACAACCAGCTTAGCGCTGAAAAATCAATATGAGAGCAAAAGGGTGACAGAGCCTTGAGACAGACCAGAGCGTAACGCAAACAGCGCTTCCCCAGCACTGCTCAGGTCTCTGGCTTATGGAGTTCATTAGTAAATTAATTCCTGATGTTACTTCAAAGGAAGCATGCTCAAGAGATTGATGAGGACCTGAAAAAACTGGCGACTCAGGAACAAGCAAGCACAAACTGACCCTTAGCTTGGACTCAACTATTGTGCACGCAAAATGGTTTTTTATCAGATGCTGTTTACTTTGAACATGTGCAACCTGGTACAGAAAAATACCCGGCAGCTTCCTTGTGCCTGCACAAGCTTTCTTTACAACACGCAACTAGAGTAAGGGACAACCCTTCATGCTCCCAAAACCAAGCGAGAGCGGATGGGATTGCGCAGGAGTGCAAGCAGAAGGCGCAGCCTCCTCCCATATGTAGTGCAGAGACATTTTGGCAGAGGGGAGCCTGCCCTCTGGCACAGCTCCCCGGCCTCGAACGCTGCGGACAGCTGGCTGCTTCCCTGCTGCAGAGAGCTGTATTTTCCATCAAGTAAAGAGCATTTCTTTTGGATGCACGTTCAGATGATTAGTGAAGTAGATGATTTATTTATTTATTTTTAGACACAGTGCTTTGAAAAATCTCCTTTCTGTAGTATTCATTAAAGAAAAAAGTTACCCCAATGCCAGAAACAGCCAGGAAGGCTGCTTGCACCTTCCTCTGCACCACAGCCCTGAATTCAAGACCAAAGTTTTCCAAACAAGCAGCAACAAAGTAGTTCTGTTGCCTGGTGCCCGTCCTGATGTGTTAAGTACAAATAATTTTTGCAGCTACTTACATCTTCTCATCTGCTTTCTACTCATCACAGACTCACAGACTGGTTTGGGTTGGAAGGGACCTTAAAAATCATCCAGTGCCACCCCCTGCCATGGGCAGGGACCCCTCCCACTAGCCCAGGTTGCCCAAAGCCTGGCCTTGAACCCCTCCAGGGATGGGGCATCCACAGCTTCTCTGGGCAGCCTGGGCCACTGCCTCACCCCCCGCACAGGAAAAAAATTATTCCCAATATCTCATCTCAGTCTTCCCTCTTGCAGCTTAAAACTGTTACCCCTCGTCCTATTGCCACAATCCCTGATCAAGAGTCCCTCCCCATCTACTCATCTTTTTTCTACGGACCCAGAACACACACACCAGAGTCCAGCAACTCATTGGAAAGAGCAGTCCAAACAACTATACGCGTCTCCGAGGCAGCAAGGTTAGGGCTGAAACCCGCAACTCAGTTAATAACCCCCTAGGTGCCAGCAGGCCCTAGAGCACCTATTACCTGGTCTCTGTGGGTCCCAAAAATCCAGCCAACCCTGCTGGGGTGCTCCCAGTACACGGGACCTGGCAGGAGAGCACTTCCCAGTACCCCAATCCCGCTGCCCCACTCCTTCCTGCAGGGCTCTTACCACTTGCTCCTGCGGCGGTGCTGCCTGGGCCGCGCTTTGCTGGGCCAGGGGCTGCGGCGGC